TTTGAACGTTGGATCGTGCAGGTATATTTGCAGCCAACAAATGAGGTGTTAGAAGGAACCTTCGCTGATCCGAGGAGCAAACAGTTCTCGGGTGCGAAACGTCGTCCCGAGGGTGGTGTCGTGGTCTCTATCGGTCGTCGTTGCAACTGTCGTAGCTGCAATGCTGCCATTCTTCGGAGACATCAACGCGCTGATTGGAGCTTTCGGTTTCATCCCTCTGGACTTCATCCTGCCCGTTGTTTTCTATAACCTAACGTTTAAGCCTTCCAAAAGGAGCATTGTTTTCTGGCTAACTCTACCATTGCCGTCGTTTTCTCGGCGGTTGGAGCGATTGCCGCTGTTGCCGCCGTTAGACAGATGAGCCTCGATGCCAAGACTTATCGGTTGTTTGCTAATGTATGAGGAAAGTTTGTTAAAGCATATTCGTACACGGAGAATAGAAGGTGAAACACAAAACAATCAATCTTTTGTATATACATCTTGAGCCGTACGTACCATAACAAAGTATTATATGGTGTAAATCTACATTTGTTATACCTTCCTAAAATAGGAATATATATTATATAGTATGACAAGCGTTATATATATATATATAATAATAGCCGACGTATTCGTCGGAGTATATTAAAGTATATGTAATAGGTGACCATACACTAGCTTTTACTATATATATATATCAAATTGGACGAGTAACCATTGCTTTATTAGTGACTCGCAAGGTTGTCAGAAACGCTAACCTTTTGCGATGAAAGGTTGGTCACCAATGAATGCAATTTGCGAAATTCGTGCTGTCAATTTATCACCAATGTTGTTTTTGAGTGATTACTAAAGCTGTCACCAAATATACCATTTTGCAACAAAATGTTGGTCACAAATGACTGAAGTTTGTGGTAAGTACGATGTTTGCGTGATAACAAAACTTATCACAAAATAATTCTTTTCTGAAAGTTAGACAATCACAGAAGTATATTGTGAGTGACTATCGAAATTCGTCACAGATATGGTATGGGGACATATGTGACAGTAAACTTAGTCACAAATAGTGACTATAGTGACAACCAACTCGACCCATAAATCTTACATTGAAATTCAAAGTGTGTATTTGTGACATAATTATGATCACACCTGTAGCTATTCGTGACAATTAGACATGTCACAATGGTAGATTTCGTAACTGGACTACCTCATCACAAAAAGAATTTTTATTGTAGATAATATTGTCACGCAAGTTCTTATTTTCGTTACGAACAATGTTGTCACAACTGCGTTAGTTAATCGTGACGATTTCAACCCGTCACATATACAAATTTTACTGTTGCCAAAAGTTAGAAAAAGCGTTGCCCATTTTACAAAAATGTATTGCAAAACTTGTTAAATGTCTGTCCTAAAGTGGTGTTGCGCAAGAGGTAAGGATACACAGCGCTTTATATTTGGCTTGCGAAAAATGAAAAAACAATTGCCTATTCCTTTTACAACCCCCACTATATGCAACCCTATCAAAAGTGTTGCGATAAGTTTTCGCAACTCTTTTAACATATAACGCAACACATTTGTGGGAGTTGCAAGATGCCATTTTTCCCGTAGTATAAGAGGAGAAGCTCCTTACTTGGATTGTTTAGTAGCCTGTTTATAGGCAAAAGCATGTGTTCCTCTTTTGGGTCTGGTAAGACCTTCGAATGTGTTTCGTGGGTTTGGGCCCATATATGTTTGGTGGGGCGTACCGGTGATTTTGGTCGAATTATGTCATACTTATAGGCCCAACACAGTAAAAAAAAAAAATAATAATAATAGAACAACATGAAAAATGGATATATAAGGAGAGAAGTAACTTCAGAAATTTTATCCATAATGATACATGGCCGCATAAGGTCCCGACATATAGTCTATAGAAATATAATTCATATTTTAAATCGACAATCTCTTATAAATTTTGGTGTACTGGACACAAAGTGATCCTTATTTCAACCTTACTTAAAACTTCTCCCGCAACGAGATCTTTTTTCGTACCAAACCAATGCACGTCAATTGACGAAAAACCAGCTCCGATCAAAATGGAATTCGGGCTCCACTTCAGAGCTTCAAGTGATGCAGAATAGGAGGCCCATCGCCACCAATACCCTTTTCGTAAAGGTAGGCAGAATAATCCTGAATCGTTGTTTCCCTATATTTTGGAGGGTTCTCATCCGACAACAATTCTTTTATGGGTCCGTACATCCGAGAGTTTGGTGCGAAGCCATGAGTGAAGAAGCTGGCCACCGACACTCTAGGCCCAATGTCTTTCGCTACCACGCGATGCTCCGTGCTTATGAACTTATCATTGGATACAAGCTGAAAAATATCGTGAGCATAATCAACCGGACACGTTAGAAATCAAGCCAGCCAGAATCAAGACGCCTTAAGGAAAAGAAGAAGAAAAAAAAAGGTCCAGATCACCTGAAGAAGGTCTCCAATGTTGACCACGAGACTCCCAGGCACGGGAGGCACGTCGACCCAATAATCCTGATGAAGAACTTGAAGGCCTCCGATGTGATCCTGTAGAAGCAGAGTTATGAAGTCATCGTCTCGATGCTTGCTCGTGCCTAGCGTCAACTCGGGCTGAGGGCAGGCCGGATAGCAATGGCAAAGTAAGTACAATCCTCCCGAGCAGTCCATTTCTCGCAAATGATTTCGGGCCAGGCCCAGAGCCTCCGACAGCAGTTGCAGAATCAGATCTCCCAATTTCATCACTTCCTTGGAGTAGTCAATCAGGATTTCCCGGCAGCAAGCGGGGAGTTGCTGAGGGCTGGGCGGATCCGGTGCCATGTTGATGTAGATGCTGTCCCTCCAATTGGCAAACTGCGACTTGTACAGATCGAGGTTGCTGTTGTAAATGATCTTCTTCGTGTTGTCGTCACGCTCGAAGAATTCCTTCTTCTGCTCCACGTCCAGGTCGAAGAACCTGTGGACTCCGGCTTTCATCTCCTCCAGCAGGGTCTCGGGGATTCCGTGGTTGACCACTTGGAAGAATCCCCACTCCGACGCTGCATCCCTCATTTGCTGGACGATGCCGTTTTGCTTCTCGGGGTCCATCGTTGTTAGGGCTTGGAGGTCTATGGTTGGGAAGATGAAGCGGGCTGGAGCGTCGACGGGAGGTATTGTTGGGCGGCGGTCGACGAGGTGAGGCGGGATGTGGAAGAAGCGAGGGAGATCAGTGATCCCGGCGTCGGCAAGACCTTTCACTCCGGCTTTTGTCTCATCGAAAGCTTTCAATTCGGCGGCTCGATCGTAGGAAGCTGAGTCGACCATTTTTTTTTCTTTTTTTTTTTGCTTCCTCTTTGGCTCTCTTTATTTGTTGCTTCTTGTTTTGCTTTGTGTTGGGGATAAGAAACATATCCCCCATACCAAGGCCATTTATAGCGGATACATTATGGCTCAATATATGATCAAATTACAAGCATAATTAAATTATGAAAGCAAACCAATACTCAAAATATAAAAATTCAAAATAGTTGTGATGATAATTCATTGTGCTATAATACGAAGCAACAAAATACACGTGTTTTGTGTAAATTGAAAAAACGTACAAGTATATGACAACCTGAAAACGTATCGAGGAAGAAGTTTCGAGGAGTTAAATGGAATTGTTGTAAGAGATTATGATTAAATTGTTATATTTACTTCAAATATGCTAATAGGACGGATAGGTTTATTATAAATACATGAGTTGTAGACATGGTATTGTGCTTCAGTTTTGAACTCTTGGTTATAAATACATGAGTTGTAGACATGGTATTGTGCTTCATATAACTACGCATTTTCAACCCCTTTTTTCTTAGCCCATCCCTTATGTAATGATGCCCAGACTATTTTTACTTTTAAGTGAATGAAAGCAAGGTAGTTTAAAAAAAAAAAAAAATCTTCCTATCAAGTTTATGATAATTAAGGCAGAGTGGGGATGATTATAAAACAAGAGCGAAAGGAAACGATAAAATCACGAGAAAGATAGCTAGAAAGGGAAAGCAAGGGCAATAATAACACATGCATCACTATTATATATATTTTACTAAGTAACCATTGGTCACTGATCTATGAGTAACTAAATCTGGACCTTTAAATCTAAATGGACATAGAAAATCCAGATCTAAAGGTTGTCAATTTAAAACATTTTATTTTCTCTAGTTTTTTTAATTGGCTGTTATCTTCTTTGTTCTAACTCGAATTTCAATTATTTTTTTGCACAGATGAAACGCATTCGTTGTGCTCTACAAAATGAGATTAATTTTCAATATATTTAGAGAATTTTTTTTCGTACCACCTGTTACCAACCACATACCATATGGTAACTTCTTCGTTTTTAAGTCGTTTTTGAAAACGTTTGATCAGAAGGAACGAGTTCATCATGATCTATTGGATCTACAAATTTCTGAGTGTTAGGGAGTGAAAGTGAATCTTGATGAAATTCCCGTTTAGATAGCGTCACAACCCTCATGGGGGTTGTGATTTTCACTTCCTCCTTCGCAGCCATTAGATCCACCCTCTCTCTTGGTTTTTCAAATTAACGGTTTAGATTAAATGAAGGATATTTTTGGAAGAGAAAAACTTACCACACAGGATCCTTTCTCATTTTCTATATAATCTGATTTCCAAAAAAAAAAACTCTTCCTCTCTCCCCTCTCTCTCTTTCCTCTCCCGAGAACCCTAACTACTCTCTGTCTCTCCCTCCCGTTGTCGTCGCCGCCGCTGCCGCCGCCCCCTCTCGTCGCCACCGTCGTCGTCTTTCCCTCCCGTCGCCACCGCCACCATCTCTCCCTCCCTCCGCAGCCGTCGCATCCTCCGCCTCCCACCAACGCAGCCCTCTCTCCTCCCTCCAACTCCTGTCACCGCCATCTCTCTCCCGCCATCCTCCTCAGCCGCCGCCGCTAGGTAACAACCTCTCCCCTTCCTTCTCCTTTCCTCATTCCTTAATTTTTTTCCAGATCTGGGATTTTCCAGATTCCAGATCTTGTTTTTTTATGTTATTCTCTAGTGGTACTGATTTATGTCTAGTGGTACGCTACCAGTGGTAGTGGTAGCGTACCAGTACTCAGTTGTAGCGGTACCAGTGAGTAGTGGTACTGATTTCTGTCTAGTGGTACGCTACCAGTGGTAGTGATATCGTACCACTATTCACTGGTAGCGGTACCAGTGGTAGTGGTAGCGTACCACTACTCACTGGTAGCGGTACGAGTGGTATTTGTAGCGTACCACTACCACTAGTACGTACCACAACTACTGGTAGCGTACCACTAGATGAAAATCAGTACCACTAGCACACTGACGGAGTGGTTTTTTTGCAGTTGGCCGGAGCGAGTCTGATTGGAGGATTTCACCGGAAAAATTCGTCGGCCAGAGAAACTTTGGTGGTCGGAGTGAAGAGGTTGCTGGAAAAGAAAGAGAGAGAGATATAAGCGTATTAATTGTAGGATTTGAATTAAAAAAGTATTTAATCTGGGTTTTTAATTCCCAATCTGTAATTAATACAAAAATAAATAAATAATAAATTCTGTTTTTTTTTCATACCCAAATTGCCCTTGGATGTGAATCTCACATCCCTCTTAGGGGATGTGACCGTATCCCACCCCATGAAATTCGAATGCACTCTGTCGGCGAGGTTCGTAATATTAAAAGACTTGCTGAAATTTTAGGTGCGAGTGTGATTTTTTTTTACCTATGCTGTATTTCGAGCTGCCTCTTGGTGCCCCACCTTCTTCAACTGCAATTTTTGTTTACTTTTTTTGTTTGTTAAAGTGCTACTTAAAGAATTCGAACTTGGGACCTCCAAGTTCAAGACTAGTGATATTACCACTAGACCAAATCTTTGTTTGTTTCTCCAACTGCAATTTGGAAACCTACTATTACAAACTATAAAGAAAGCTTGCGAGTTGGAAGGGTAAGCATCTGTTTTTTAGAGGGAGGATAATTTTGAGCAATTATTGTCTTGCTAGCCAACCAACCTATATGTGCTCCCTCTACAGTGCGTCAAAATGATCGGTTGTTGCTTGCATCGAGAAAATACAATGCGACTTCATATGGTAAGGAGTGTACGTGGCACCGGGCGTGCCGTCCATGGGCTAGTACGATATGGCACTGTTAGAACACGGTATGAGCACGTGCACAAAATAATTGAGCCAATCCAGCACGAGCACGAATAATTAATGGGCCGTTTCGAGCCTAAACTTCATGGGCACGAGCACGGGCACGACACAGTATATAAGTGTGTCGTGTTGGGACTAATATTTTTGAGATTTTATTGAGTATAAGAACGGTCATGGCACAAAATTAAATAACATTTATTTGATAGAAAATAAATATAGAAAGAATGATAGGTTCGAATGTTATAAAATACAAGTAAAAAAATAATTATTTGTTGTTGTTAGAAGTGTCATAAAGATATATACGTAATTACTACCATAAGTAAAAATGGACGAAGAATTAAACGATGTCAAATCACACCCGCTATACTTCTAATTTTCTTTTCCCCCTTATTTGTTACTTTTCTCAAACATTCTCGATTAATACTATCTTTCTCCATCTAATTTTTCACCTTCTTTATCATTCTCTCTTTTATTTTTTTTTCCTTTTTATTAGACACGAATACTAGCAGAGCACGAGCACGAATAGGCACGACACGATTCAAACCGTGCTTGGATCTGGGCCGGGCCTAGCAAAGTTAACAAATGGGCTTTCACGGCACGACACGAAAACTGACGGGCACGAAACAAATGGGCCCGAAACGAGCCCGTGCCCTGTCGGTCCATGCACGGCCCAGTGACCATGTACAGTAAGGAGTACAGGATAAGCAGAAGGTACAAAACCCCTAAGGAGAAGGGAGGACTCGGAATTCTTGATCTTAACCCTTATAATTAGGCACTTCTGTGCAAATGACATTGGAGGTATGCCCATGATAGGTAGTGATGGCAATGGGGCGGAGCGGGGCGGGTACCTTAATTCCCATGCCCGCCCAACGCTACTACGGGGCGGGGCGGGTAAAACCCGCGCGGGTACGGGCGCGGCGGGTAAAACCCGCCCGGGTACGGGCGGGTCGGGTCGACCCACTCTTACATGTTATTCGAAAAAAATAAAAATAAATTTTACTTTTTACGATAAAACGAAGGGAAAAACACTTTAAGAATGAAAAATAGTGATAATAGAATGGGTAATTGAGTCTAACAAGTTGAAAGAGCGACTCTAACTAGTTGAAGAAAAGTCAAAATAGGAGAAATATGTATAGAAATTGTAAGAAATTGAGATAAAATGAGTCTAGAATGGGGCGGGGCGAGGCAGGGCGGGTCGGAAGTAGATACTCATGCCCCGCCCCACGCTACTCCGGATCGGGTAATACCCACCGCATCACGGGTCAGGTCGGGTAATACCCGCATAACGGGTTGAAATGGCCATCACTAATGATAGGGAGTCCTTATGGAGGAAGCTCTTTGAATAAAATACCTTTACTACAAATGAGTTTGAAACAGTAGCAGCAGGGGCGGGCAATAATGCATGTATGACTATTATATATATTTTACGTGCAATCAGGTTTATAATAATTAAGGTTGGGGTGGGTAATTAAAACAGGAGCAAAACGAAACAAATCATGAAAGAGATGGCTAGAAAGGGAAAGCAAGGACAAGTATTGCAATTTATGCATGTATATAGGTGGGAATAATTTGGATGCATGTACATAGGAGCAGCAACACCAGGAAACTACAAACCTTTGGTGCGAAAGTCAATTATGGAGCAGATCCCAAATCTCGTAAAAAGATATCAAGTTCATTAAACAAAACACAAATCTCATGAAAAATATCTTGCACTAGTTTATAACATGCTACAATGCCCATAAAACAGACCAAAAATATTACAAACAAATCACAAAGACTTCCATAATAAGTAAGAGAACCACAATACTAGAAGGACACGAAAATACTAAGTACTATACTAGAATGACAAGGAAATAAGATTATTCCTAATTTATCTATAACACGCCCCCGCAAGATGATGGTGTGAAGAACAACATCAATCTTGACCAAAATACGCCAATCTTGAAGAACAAACCCCCGCAATGTGATGATGTAGAATATGATGCAAACTCGTCGAACTCTCGTACTTGAAGAGCGAAGCCAATTAACCGTCGTCGTGGAGAAGAAGAAATCATCAAACTTGCAATTCATATGTTGCAACCAAACGCACTCGCCGTCCAAAATTGACCGGAAACGAGATGAACATTAATCAATTGGTTTTGACGATACCAATACACGTAAACTGGTGTAGGACACGAGCTATTCATCTGAATGACCATTGTCGGAGAAGCTTTCTTCATTCCATACCCGCAAAGAAGAGATGGATGGAGAGTGACAGGCTCTGCCAAATAATGCGGCAACAATATGAAAATAAGATAACGCCGGCTTATAAAAACTTGATCTTGATCTCCAAGGGCAAGGCGATAGTGGTCGATGGACAAAGCACTAAAAATTATCAGAATCGGCAACGAAATAATCATTATGATATCTTTTGAAGGAACAGTATGGGGTGTGGTATATGGAAGCTCGAACTATTATGCTATGGACGAGAGGCAAGGAAGACGATTAGGGATAAAAAGAAAACCCTATCAAGCTTAATAAAAACAACTAACGAAATTATTTGGGAAGTAAAAATAAGGACGAAAGTAATAACATGAAAGGCAATTGAGGGATGCAGGGGGTTAATCTGCGGTAGGAAGAAGGCCGGGCGAGTGAGAGCTCATCCCGCCGGTGAAAAGGGAGGAAAAGGTTTTGGGGTTTCTGGATCGGTAGGCTATTAAGCAAGAGGCTCTGATGTCATATAAGAATTTTAGGAATAGTAACTTGTATTATTATAAAACTATATAGATTATAAGACTTGCATTATAAGTAAGAGAACCACAATACTAGAAGAACAAGGAAATATAAGATTATTCCTAATCTATCTCTAACACTTAATGTATTCTTTTTATTAATGATGATAAGATAAATCGTATAACTATAGTAAGAAACTAAGAATCATATCATCTCTAGTAAATGAAAATAGTGTAGATTATATATGTAGATCGAAGTTATACACTTGATCTCTTTAACAAAAAAAAAATATGGATAAAATGGATTATTCATTAAAAACTTCGATAAAATTAATTATTGATTAAAAGAAAAAGATAGAATAACGTGATGAAATGAATATATAAGCAGAGAAGTAACTCCAGAAATTTCATTGATAATAATACATTATCTCATAAGGTCCCGACATATAGAAATATATATATAATTCATATTGTAATTCGACAATCTGGTGCATGGCCACATATTTGTCATTAATTAATCCTTACATAAACTTCTCCACAACGAAATGCTCGCCATACCAAACCAACACACGTCAATTAGCGAACATAACCAGTCCCAGGTTTGATAATTTGGCTCAAAGACCTCCTTTTTTTCAGAGCTTCAAATAATGGAGAGTAGGTGGTCCATCACCACCAATACCCTTTTCGAAAACATAGGCAGAATAATCGTGAATTGTGGTTTCCTTGTATTTCGGAGGACTCTCCTCCGACAAAAGTTCTTTTATTGGGCCATACATTCGAGAATTTGATGCCAAGCCATGAGCAAAGAAGCTCCCCACAGATAGTCTAGGCCCTATATATTTCGATACCACGCGATGCTCCGCGCTTATGAACTTGTCATTCGATACAAGCTGAAAAATTTAGCGAATCGAACACATTAGAAGTCAAGACGTCACGAAAATTAAAAAAAAAAACCGAATGCATTGATATATTCAAGGCTTTCACCTGAAGAAAGTCTCCAATGTTGACCACTAGACTCCCAGGCACCGGAGGCACGTCGACCCAATGATCCTGATGGAGAACCTGAAGTCCTCCGATGTGATCCTGTAGAAGCAGCGTTATGAAGTCATCGTCTTGATGCCTGCTCGTGCCTAGAGTCAATTCGGGTTGAGGGCAGGCAGGATAGCAATGGCAAACTACATACAATCCTCCCGTGCAGTCCATATCTTTCAAATGATTTCGGGTCAGACCCAGAGCCTCCGACAGCAGTTGCACGATCAGATCTCCCAACTTGAGCACTTCCTTGGAGTAGTCAATCAGGATTTCCCTGCAGCAGGCGGGGAGTTCTTGAGGGCTGGGTGGGTCCGGCGCCATATTGTAGTAGATGCTGTCCCTCCAATTGGCAAACGGAGAGCTGTACAGATCGGCGTTGCTATTGTAAATAACCTTCTTGGTCTCGTAATCACGCTCGAAGAATTCCTTCTTCTGCTCCACGTCCAGCTCGAAGAACCTCCGGACTCCGGCTTTCATCTCCTCCAGCAGGGTCTCGGGGATCCCGTGGTTGACCACTTGGAAGAATCCCCACTCCGACGCCGCATCCCTCACTTTCTGGACGATGCCGTTTCGCTGCTCGGGGTCTTGAATGCCGTCCGTCGTTAGGGCTTGGAGGTCTATGGTTGGGAAGATGAAGCGGGCTGGAGCGTCGACGGGAGGTATTGTTGGGCGGCGGTCCACGAGGTGAGGTGGGATGTGGAAGATGCGAGGCACCTCAGTGATCCCGGCGTCGGCTAGACCTTTCACTCCGGCTTTTGTCTCGTCGAAAGCTTTCAATTCGGAGGCTCGATCGTAACTAGCTGATGAGTCGTCATCATGCGCCTGCTGCTGGGTGGAGACTACTACCATTTCTCCTCCCTCGCCCTCTTTGTTTGCTTTGTGTGTGGATAAGAAACACATCCCCCGTACCAAGGCCATTTATAGCCGTTACATGACAACTCATACCAAGTTCATTTTGTTACTTGTAGTATGTTTATAAGCAGTTTGTTGCTTTAGTTTGTTTAATGTGTTTCTTAGGCACAACATTTCTCTAGATTTTATGATATTTGAGATTTCCCCCCTATTTTGCAGAGTGTTGGCACCACCGTTTGCTTTTATATATTTTTAGAATAGTTTGTGGAGCTTTTGAGTTCTGACGGAGGAGAAGTATTTTGCTTTTATATATTTGATTAATCGTCTTGAAGGAAATTAATATGGTATTTGATATCTATCAATATCGAACATAATAAATAATTTATTTTGGGATTGAGATTGAATTTAGGACACTAGCTATTTGATATTCAGAATGTTGGTATTTGGTATTTCTAACCCTAACCACTTATGATTTGAAAGGCATTACACAAATCACACAATGTATTCATAATTTTGTAAGTAAACCATATAAGATTCATAGTTGAACATCTTCCAACAACTCGAGTTATTGAGACCAAAGAATTTATTACATGATATTAAAACCTTCAATAGCCGAGAAGTTTTTCGTTCAAATCTCGACGATCCAAAATATTAAGCACGTGGTATTCAAATAAGTGTCAATCTCAATCTCATATGAGTTGGTTTTCTTCTCAAAAAAATACATTATTAACTATTTAAAATCAATAATTCGAGTTGATGAAAAAGTTTCTATTAACAAGATGGTGGGTATGGATTTTTAATCTAGTCGCTTGAATTCGGCGGCCGATCACCTAAATCTATGGTCAATTGTTGGAATCCGGAAAACATTTCATAAAACAATTCAAGTTAATTTGCCTAAACAAATACCATTAAGTATATACTTTTATGGTGCCTTCTACGGTACCCCGTTTTATATATAACTAGAGAGGGAGGCCCGCATCATGCTGCGGTGGCTGTAGATGAGTTTTGCATAATTTTTGTGTCCGTTTTTTAATTTGTGCCGGATCTTTAGATTATATGTTCATTTGTGGAATTGAGTGAGTTGATGTGTTGAAATAATTATTGGCAAACCACATAAACATAAGGGGAAAGGCATGCACTTTATTCTTATATTAGGATGCATCAATGTTCGAGAACTGATTAGCATCTCCAGAGAAAATATACCACAGCATAACAAAGATAATAAAAATGTTCCTTAATTCGGGAAAATATACGGAAATAATTTCTCTGATTTAAGATCCATCAGCTTTCTAAAATCGATGACCATGTATGCATCGTGGTTCTTAATTCGGGAGTGTTAAGAGAAACCATAATATAGCATGCCAAATACAAATATTTTTATTCTCGATTAGAGGATGAAATCGTGTTGGGAGAAGACTATCCATATGTTGCAACAATTGTTAGAAAATGTAGCTATAGAGATGAACGTTACAGATCAATTTTCATTGTCAATAGAGAAATAGATTGGGAAAAAAAATTTCATAGTGGACAAATGGTTCATATAAAAAAATCACAAAAAAGAAAATATGACCAACTACAACTAAGCATGGCTCTAGGACTAATTTTTTGTTGGAAAAATTGAAATGTTTAAATAAAAGAACAAAACAAAAAATATCCCCAACCACACCTAACCATGACTCTTAGGCAACTATTTGGCTTTATATATAATAATATTTGTTCGTTCAATTACAAACAGAAAAATCAGGCCAATTTGATTGTTTACGGTAGGGTCAGGAGAGGAGGGATACGAGTTGGGTCGAAGCATGACGAGCCTGACTAGTGACTAGTGTTGGGTTAGGATGGACTCGGTGGGTTCGGTTTGTGTATTCAACTTGCACATCAAGCATTCCAGATGCTCAAACGAAATTATGGTCATATATTTAAGTTTAGGTAGC